TTATTTGATTATCTTTAGCTTTCCCCTGAATTAGCACTCGATGGCAAACGAATTATATGAGGGTCCATATATGGCAAACGAATTATATGAGGGACCACGGTCCCTCATAGTCCTTTCATGGGGCAGATCAACAAACTAAATCAATTCTTCCACAGATTGTATGGAAAAACCATTCTCAATCGCATAAAGTATTTTAGTAGTGATCTAACACTCATGCATTCTTGTGCTCTTTTCTTTGCAAAGTAATCTAATTTTGCCAGGTAGATGATAATACAAATAATAGAATATTTCTTTATAAAGCAAAATATACAACAGTGAGTCAGTATTTGTATGGAGATTCCCATAATAGATTATTGAGTAAAAAAGTATGCTACCAACTAGATTTTAAATGTTCTTGTTTATATTTATGTATCTGTGATATTAAACGTGGTGTGTGTGTGGGTATATCTGTGAAGACCAGTAACAGTGATTACTTCTACGGATTATGAGAATCTTTGCTTTCTCTGTATTGTGTGGAATTTCATAGGATTAGGAAAATAACAGATCTTATTTCCCGTGACAAAGAGTGGGCCAGAGAAGCTGCAGCAGGAGGTACACAAAGCAGTGCATGAACTGTTAAAAAAAAAAAAAAAAGAAATAAAAAGAAAAAGAAAAAAAGAAAAGGGGGGGAGAAAATATGATTTAAACAAAGAAATATTAAACAAGGGATGAGTTAGAGTCAATGGTGTTTTTGCCCAAAGGAAGAGCAAAGGTTTTCTAGTATAATCCTATGACACAGATTTTTAAACTATTACTTATTTTCTATTGCTATGATTTGAAAATCATAGAACAACTGATTTCAGAGTTCTGAAAGAACTCTTGAAATAATGGAAAAACTGAGGAGACTGTGGGTAAGATAAAATTAAGTCATTCAAATTCATTGCTAGAGATAAAATCTAGATCTTTTGTCTTTGTGGAGCACGTTCTCTCTTCCAGGCAAATATTAGGGAAACCTCAACCTAATAATATCATTGAAGGGCACAACTATCCCAAGAAAATATTTAGTAGACAGCATTATGTTAAAAAAACAGTGGACCTCAACTATGTAAACAAAATTGGTTTTTAAAAATATGCTGTTAGAGAATGTTGTATTTCTATTTCCCGGACTTTCCGTATGTTTTTAAGAAGTAACACCATATTTGAATATTGTATAATATAAATTGTTAAAGTTAGACAAAATTTAGCCTCCAGATATGATGACACCCTTTCTATAAAGAGAAGTGATGGGGGTATGAGATTTGCACAGATGACATATGGAAGGATCTAAGTTTGTTTTTGCTTTTTAACAGAATGCTAAAGTTAGCAAAATTCTGAGGTGGAAAACATAGTGCCTGTTCAAGTAATGCATGCTGATGAGAGACAAAGCACCATGTTTTTGAGTGCATTGAAACAAAATATTTCTGTAATCAGCTGCCCAGATTTATGGGAAATAAAAATAGTGTGCCTGCCACAGCTGTAAAGAAACATTGTGAGGTTATTGTTTCTTTCCTCTCTTCCTTTCTTTTCTTCTTTTCTTCTTTCTCCTTTTCTTTCTTTATCGAAGAGGAAATGAGAAGAAGAAATCACAATCTTGGGAATAAAGCATCTGACACCTATGGATGTGCTAGACCCCATGCAAGTCTTCCCTAGGTCAGAGTGAGGGAAGTGATGCTACTTAGAGCTCATGAAGACCTGAAGGTGGTAGAATGACCTTGGTGATGGCTCAGGAAGCACTTGAGTCAAGGCTACAGTCTCCTTTTCCTTCAAACCCTGAAACTACCCGTTAGGCTAGACTGGAAATAGTGCTTTGTTTGTTCAAGGGCTTTCCCCCACTGTCTTTGAAGCAACGTGGCCAACAGCACACTGTCTAGGAAGTCAGGCAAATGGCACCAGGGGATGACATAGTGAGCAGTAGGATGGACACGGTAACCTTTAGGTGGATTCCCAGGTAGTGGCATACTCAGGCTGGTGAATAAAATAATTGGCAGTAGTCAGGCATGCGGGTAAGTAGACAGAGCATAAGGAAATTTCAGAGCAGGAGGCGAGATGCTCCTGAGCACTAAAATGGGACTCAGGACCTGGAAATGAATACAACAGAGAGCCAGAGCCTCTCTGGGAGGAACTGAGAGTCTACAGCATGGCCAGAGAGGGTAAAAATCACAATGATCCAGCTTGTAGTCCAAGATAGTCTGGGCCATAAGGAGCAAGGCAGGAGCCTATTGATTAGAAAGAGAGGAGGTCAGAGGGAGCTCTGGCCTCTTAAATTTGTCCTTACTATGGAGAGGAGGTCATAAAACCTGAGGCAGGGGAAGCATGTAGGTAGAGGTAATGTAGCTCCAGCTTCAGAAGTTAGGAATTGAAGGCACAGGACATAAAGAGGCCATTAAGGGGTGTATTCCTCTGAGAATGTGCCTTTCACGGTGGCTTTTTAAAGAAAAGCGTGAATGAGGATGTTGCTAGAACTGCTGTCCTGAGAATGCTGGTTCTGGAGTTCTTTGTTGTCCTTGTTTTCTGCTTATCAGGCTTATGTTTCCAACTGTGAGACATAAAACGTATATTTTGAGCACTCTAATTTTAAAAGATGCTGCGTGGTGAGACTCCTCCAACATCATTTTCAACCAGAGACGCATTTGAAGGCCATCTTTCATGTCCACTGCATGCATCCTAAAGTTCTTTGAGCTTGTCCACCCCTCTCGCCGGTTTCCTTTTGCCAAAAGAGACCCCTCCCAGCCAGGCTCTCTGAGGTGAAGGGCAACCGGCCTGTCATCCTTGTTTGTCAATGATCGCCTCTGTTCCAGCTTGAATTAGTACATAATTCTTCCTGATTGACTGAAATTGTGTGAAAATAAAACTCAAGGCCCATCTGCTTTTTTAGTTTTCATCCAAGATTCCCTGGAAGGGAAGTGCACTGGAGACCAAATATTTGCCGTAGCTGTGTGGCCATAGTTTTGGAAGACATCCCAATATGGGGAAATACAATACTAAATTATTTCAGACGTTAGCAGTCTCTCTCTGTCTCTACGCCTCCTCCCGATTGTCCTCCTCCGCCTCTATAAAAACTCTAACGTGCTCCAGGGATTTGCCTAATTTACTAATATTTAATGTCTGCAGAATATTAAGACACATGTTCTAACACAAGCAAGCTGACTCGTTGGAATGTATAGTGTGTAATAACCATTATTACAGTTGGAAATAAATAAATAAATAAATAAATAAATAAATAAATAAATACTGGAAATAAATAAAACTGGATGGTTCATCACAGTACTCAGCGTGCAATATGTACACGCACAGCATGCTGCTATAACCATCCTGGGATATTTGATACACATTGTGGCCTCCATGATTTTGCTTGAGCTCTTTCCTCTTCTAGAATGTTCTTAACTCTCTTTCCACCTGTCTATATTCCTTCAATTCTTAAGGTCATATTCATTATTTATATGTTCCCTGATACTATTTGTTATACTAGACCAGAGGTTGGAAGGGTTTTTTTGTTTTGTTTTGTTTTTTTTCTTATGTAAAAGGTCAGATAGTAAATATTTTAGCTTTGGAGGTTATATGGCCTCTCTTTGTGACATTCTGCTGCGGATTTGAAAACAAATAAAACTAAATTTACAAACGTGAGCTGGGCCTGTAGAACATAGTTTGTGAACTCTTGTACTTGACAATGCTAGGAGTTTTAAGAGCTTGGGAGAAAGTTAGCTAATGTGCTCATATTTTGAGTGACTCATCTGTAGAAAGGGGGTTAAGACATCCTCAAGGTAGTGCATTTATGATGGAGCCAACAGTAACAAGCAACTCACTAAACAACAGGCCTGTATTTTAAATTTATTTGTTACTTTCAGTACTTGATTATATTTTATTCATCACTGAATCATGGACTGTTTGATATTATCCTCTTGGTTCAGGTTTAATTATTTTATGTGGGCTTATATATTATTGGACTCAGGAGGAAATGGGTTATTTTTTAAATTATTATTGCCCAAAGTAGCTAGAACAGTACAAGGCATAGAGTAAGATCTCAATAAATATTTGTGATTAAAGTCTTCCAGGAGAACATACAGCACATGTACCATTTTTCTTACTTAAATATGTGGCTATAGGTTATATCCCAATTTAGAAGGATGTGAGATAGCCAATGTTTAAATTCTGATAATTTTGTAGCCACCTTAAAAAAAACACTCAAATAATCTCTTATATGCTCTTAGCTTACTTGCCTGATCTCAGTTTTATTCTAATTTTGTTATTTGTTATTCTGATTTATATGATTTTCTTAATTAGTGAAAAATTTCAAATTCAGTATGAAGATGATCCATTTGTGGAAGTACAAAGTGTTCAAATGTAATAAGGGTAAACTATGTTCAGGATTTATAAATGCTATATTTAAGTTCTAAATTTAAACTAGCTAATGGATCATTAATCAATTATTCATCAACGCCATTTTAATTACTTTCAATGTAACACTATATATGCATTGAATGTTCAATTTTGGAAAATGAGCCATTCATTGTGGGGTATAAGCCAGCCCTAGAAAATGTTTCTGCTCACATGATCTTATTGATTTCTTTCTTTTTTTAAGATTTTATTTATTTATTCATGAGAGACACACAGAGAGGCAGAGACACAGGCAAAGGGAGAAGCAGACTCCCTGTGGGGAGCTGGATGTGGGACTCAATCCCAGGACCCCAGGATCACCACCTGAGCCAAAGGCACTCAGTCACTTAGGTGCCCTGATGTTAGAAATCAATAAGTTCACCTCATTTCCTTCAGATTACTACTCAGATATCACCTAATGCAAGAGAATTTCCTTGACAAAGGAGCAAAACACAGCCCCTCCCAATCTCTGCCATACCCCCCAACCAGCTGCCCTTCTTCCATATTTAATGCATCTGTAGTATTTATCACCACGTCATACATTAATTTTTTGCTTGCATCTGTTTGTTTTTGTTTTAGTTTGTAGTTCCCACTAAAACATAAATTCCATGACAGGTACGTTGTCAGTATCATCTACTGTATTTGCTGTGCCTGCACAGCATGGGTGCTGGGTATATATTTGAATGAAGAGACAGAAAGGAATGCATATTAGCACATTCCTAATAAAATGGGGAATTTGGAAGTAATGATGACTCCAGGCAAACGTGGAACTTTCATCAAAAGATTATAAAAAGTTAGATTCAAAGGGTCAGCACTTGAGAAATCAAGGTTTTATATTTGCGATCATTGGCAGCTAACCTGAATAGCAAATTTTTAAACAATTAAGACAAAATCCTTCACTGTAGATTCTCACTTTGTGAATTGATACCTCAAAAATAAATTTTATGTTCATTTTTTCATCCTTTAACATTTAGCTTTCTGGGGAATATATTCATACACATATGCCATATTTCCCAGAGGTACTTGTGTTATAACTAAGAAAAATAAGAAATCTAACTATATTTTACAAGGATGGATATGTTCATTTTTAACTCCAGATTTGTATACACTTGAGTGGTGAGATAATGAATAATAATTCGTTTCCCCAGTATCACTGGGACTTCACTCCACTTGAATGACTTTTCAAGAAAGCTAGTTCATTCCTTCTGTTGCTTAAGTTTTCTTCTGCTTATAAATACCTGAAGTAGAAAGTGTTCTAGAATATGTAGTGTAACTCTCTGTCTTATTAAACAGTACTGAGCATGTGTAAACATTTGTTGTGGATTGAAGACGACCTCTCTAACAATTAGGGGGTGTATGTGTCATCTCGTAATTCAGCATTATGTTTTGGGACTCCGCAGTTGTCGGGTTTAGTTGGTTCTTTTTCTCATTCATTCATTCATTCATTCACTCATTCATTCTACAGAGGTTTTTAGAGTGCATGCTGAGTGCCAGGTGTGGTTCACATCACTGGAGACTAAGCATTAAGCAGACTATCCAAAAACTTGATTCCCGTAGAGCATCCAGCCTAGTGGGAGAAAAAGGAAACCAAACAAGTGAAAACCTACATGAGTGAGAACCTACATGCCAGGTGGTTCTGGGTGCTCTGAAGGAAAAGAATGCCAGAAGTGGATACCGAGAGTGATAGTAGCAGCATGCTCATTTAGCTGGGCAGACTAGAGAAGCCAGTCTGCAGCAGTGAAAGGTGGAGTGGAGACCAGAGGGAAGAGCCTTGTGGTAGCTGGAAGAGTAATGGTGAGGGCCATGGCAAGAGTTGGCTTGTTGTTGCAATAAGAGGAAGAGGGCCCTAGAGGTGGACAGCAGTGGACAAGGATGCCAGAGAGAGATGTGACCAGTCTGGTGGCCACTGTGGGCCACTGGAGGGCTTCAGACTTTATTCTGAGTGATTGAGAGCAGGAGCCGATGGATATTGTGAGCACAGGAGCTATTTGCCCACTTATATGTGTAATCATCCCCTGGCTACTGTGGGCAGAACAACAGAAAAACAAGGGAGGATGCAGTCTTTCCTAACAGCCATCCCTGGTGGCCACTGGGACCAGGTGACGCATGGGGGGAAGGATTTGGGATATTCCAGAATGCGAACATACAAGCCCTGTTGTGGTTTCCCGGAGAGCACATGTGGACCTCAAAGAGATCCAAGAGTTGAGTCCTGGACACATGAACCTTTAGACATTAGGAAAATGAGAGAGAGCCATCAAAGGAATTGGAGTAAGCAGTACTGAGGAAGGATGAAACAAAAAATTAATGGCCATGGAAGAAGCCAAGTGAAGAATGCAATTGAGGGATCACCTGGTTCCCCGGGCAGTTGATTGGCTGAGTATGATGGGACCTGCTTAATTTTGCAGATGGCAGGACTCTTTCAGGGTGGTGATTATTCTTGTTCTCCCTCACTGACACCTATTTCTCAGGCTTTGGTAGGATTCCTTCTAACCTTCCCTCCTCCAATCTCTGTGTTTCTAATCGACCTTTCTAATCCTCTACCCCATAATGAATAAATCCCTGAAGATTTCCAGAAGATGCCAGCTTTTCCAAAGCTTGTTAAAAGAAACACCACCTTTCCTCATGATTCTTTGAGAGCAGGTCTGCATTGAGACCCGTCAACATAAAGCATGTTGTCATAGCAATAACTCTTAACAATCATTTGTTTAAATTGTCACATTTGAATTGTCTAAATTCTGATCATTTGCTAAATGTTGTATCATAGATTTTTATATTTGTACGGTATTCAACAACTGTTTTAACTAAAATCCACATCATTATTTTAAGATATTTAATCTCTCTCTTTTCTTTTCTTTTCTCTTCAGAAAAATGTGATGAACCACTTGTGTCTGGACTCCCCCATGTAGCTTTCAGCAGCTCGTCTTCCATGTCTGGGAGCTATTCTCCTGGCTATGCCAAGATCAACAAGCGAGGGGGTAAGGCACTTTTTATTTCCTTTGTCAGTAAATGTGTTAAATAAGAACGTGTGATATTTAAAACTGCGTCTCTAAAATATATTTTCTTGTGCAATAGCTATTAGCAGACACCTCATAGATACTATACCTCTTTTATAGTCATTATAGGGGCGTGATAAAGGAAAATTTGGATTGCAAGTAAGAGACGGTAAATTAAAGAGGAAGAATTTTTGGAGTTGTACATGATAATTCCAAATGATATAAAAATTCTGTGTTTAGGAAGTTCATAGTAATTGGAAAATCACTTAGAAAAAAGTTACAATGAATTGATTTCAAATATGTATACAGTTAAAGAAAAAATACTCTGTATTCACTAATTTATTTTTTATTTTTAATACTAAACAGTAACTATTGAAAATATAGGATAAAAAAAGTTATCCTTGCTAATATCTGCCCCCAGTGCTCAGAATTTAATTTTGTTATTGAGGTGTGTAAAAGATAGTTACACATTTGCAACTGAAATTTGAGTTTGGGGTTGTAGAGTTAAAATATTAATTAGTAAATGATAATTTAAAAGTAGACAGTAATCCATAGAGAATAAAAGAAAAGGATTAAGGTCAGAAATTTAAGACTGTCTTGCTTCAAAGGGACACTAATATGAATAAGAATTAATGACAACTTAGGAAAGAAAAATATTTTCTTAAAAAAAAAGAAAAATATTTTCTTGGATAAATATGGATCAACCCACAAGGACCATAATCAGTAAAACAGGAAATCAGTAAAACAGGAAATAATAAACTCACATCACGGCCAACTTAAAGAAAAAAAAAATAAGGAAGGAAGCAAGGCAGGGAGGAAAGGAGAGAGAGAGAGGAGAGAAGCATAAAGAAACAAAGGTGAGTGGGTGACGGGCACTGATGGGGGCACTTGACGGGCTGAGCATTGGGTGTTATTCTGTATGTTGGTAAATTGAACACCAATATAAAATAAATTTATTAAAAAAAAAAGAAAGGTGAAAAAAAAAAAGAGACCATGAGAAAACCCAAAGAGGGAGATAAAAAGAAGAAAGAGGGGACGAAATTAAAAAATGACACGTGAAAAGAGAGAAAGAGATATCAGATTCAGAAAGGCCAAAAAGGAGAAGAAATAGGTAAGAAAAGGGTAGATTAATATGTACAGAAATTCACAGGTATATGAAGACACCTTAATTAGTAAAAAGACTTGATGAAAGACAGATACACAGGCAAAAGTGAGGAGAACAAATCTTAAAATATATATTGTTTTGATTTAAAAAGTGGTATTAGCTGCTAGATTTTCACAATTTTCCTTTTTTTTTTTAAAAAAAAATATAGTATGATTGGCATGTAACCTCTTAGTTTCAGGGGCACAACATAATGATTTTATATATGTATATACCGCAAAATGATCACCATAATAAGTCTGGTTAACGTCTCACCATGCATAGTTAGATTTTTTTTTTTTTTTTTTTGTGATGTGGACTCTTAAGATCTACTCTTAGCAACTTTCAAATATGTAATACAGTATTGCTAGCTATAATGGTTTACTGATAGTATAACTGGAAATTGAGACCTTTTGTTACTCCCACCCCCTGCCTCTGGGAACCACCAGTCTGTTCTCCGAGTCTTTGTGGCTGCTCTTTTCATTATATGAAAAGAGGTTATAGTCATAACAGAGTTGGTAAATAACTATAGGTTATCAAAACTTTTGCTTAAAGATGTCAAAGTAATGAAAATTTTAATTCATTCCTTTTCTATAAGTCACTAAAAACAAACAAGTAAAAAATATATATAGGTAGAAAATCATGAAATAATTGAAATTGGCCATAACCAGATAATAATTATGATGCGGGCCAGCCAAGTACTAGGAAATCTGGAACAAACTGTGTAAGAGAAAAGAAATAACACGTATGTTCCTAGATGTCAAGAAGATACAATATTCCCTAAAGGAAGTGTCCTGACATTGAGAGATCAACTTGAATGAGAGGAAGTAGAGTCACAAAATATTATTTCCTTAGAATGTTGAATAGGGAAATATGACTGGGGAATTTTATACCCAGAGAATCTAGGCAAGTCAGGTTACCTCAAGCATATAACCTGTTTGGAAACACAAATGATACAATGTAATCAACAATGAGATCCTTGAAGAAAAAAAAAAAAGAAAGAAAGAAAGAAAGAAAGAAAGAAAGAAAGAAAGAAAGAAACCAACCCTTGGTCAAATGCCTGGTGCTACACAGTGAATCCATTTAAATATACCATAAGTAAACAATGTAGGAACTACAGTTGTAGAACAGAGTATAAATTTTATAGATGCAAGAATATAAAAATACCAAATTGTCGAATTAAAAGATGTACGACTTTTCCCCAGCATTTCAGAACAGGGGGCCACTAGACACTGTAACTTTGAATGCAAATTTATCTTGCCTTTGCTTTTTCAAGGAAACCATCTCTTGCGAAGAAACCAAAAGTGTTTTTTTTTTTTTTTGTGGTTGTTCTTATTCAAGTCTTTTTTGTCTGTTTGTTTTAAGATAGTACAAGATGCCACTTTGAATTATTTAGAGCTATTTACCTACTTATCTATTCATATATGTAGAGTAACGTATCTGAAATTAAACTTGTAAAAGTTAACTTTATTTTTTAACCCAGAGGGTGAGAATTGAAGAATGTCTTCACTTTCTTTATAATAGGTTTCTCAATAGTTTATAGAATGTAAATGTATAATCCTACGTATTTATGTACAAAGATCTATAGATACAGTGTATTTCCAAAAGAGAAAGTTATTTCTTTTTTTTTTTAAAGAAAGTTATTTCAAAAGCAAAAGACTATAAACAAAATTTATGGTTTTCTAGTTGTTTGACTAAAAGCTTATCTCCGTTTGACTATTGATATGATACATTGTCATGCATTAGGATGAAGGTATGGTGCAGTAGTTCGCAGGGATGTAAGTTTAGATTTACACTTGCTTCTTGCCCATTTTATCAACATTGGCTGATTCGTATCAACATTCGTTATTCTGTGGCTTTAGTTACTTTTTGGCTCCCAAAGACCCCTTTTCTTATCAGTGGCATATTGTGTATATTTGCATATAACTTCTTCCCCTAATCCATCATGTCCTATCTACCTGTTTAGGGCTGTCGCACAACTGGTTATATCTGTACTCCTCATGCTGCACTAGTTCTGAATGTATATGCAGGACACCCCGTGCAGGGCTAGCCTCAACCCTAGTTGATGACCTCAGTATGGGTCAAGGTAGCAAGCATCAGAGAGGAGGGTTATTTCCTTTCAAAAAAAAGGGAAAAAAAAAACTACATATGGTTATCTTCATAATAAACAGAACTTTATTTTTCTCTTATAAAGTTCATACGCAAATGCCCTTTGGAGAGAAGCCAGGTTGACTGAAATCCACACTAAAGTATAAATGGCTAATAATTCACGTTGATTAAGAATAGATTCTTTTGTTAGTGTAAAATATTACACACTTCAAAGGCAGATAAATGTGGCAGAGAATCCAAAGAATATTTATTTTATTTTATTTTATTTTTTTATTTATTATTTTATTTATTTTATTATTTTATTTATTTATTTTATTTGTAAAACTAATAAAAATATATATATTATACAAGATATATATCTCTTTCATATATATTTATAGACATTTATATATTTATATCTATATATCTATATAAATATATATGTTGGTGGGCATATATTTTCTTCACTATTGGCAAGAATCATATAATGCATACACTATATAAGTGTCTGAGAGCAAGAAGATCATATACCAACAGAGAAGGATGAAATAACATAATTCAGCAATTATACAAATACGGAAAAGAACAAATTCAGTTGAGCGTTATGTTGATTAACATTGCTTCAAGTTTTATCATTTATTTAAATTATTTTCCTCAAATACATTTTGGAGAGATTGAAGGTTTTGAAAACATAGAAAGTCAGAGTATAATGCAAATATACATTCAGATGACAGATTGACATGTAAGTGAAAAAAAAATGAGTTTAGTTTGTGGGTCCCCACAGTACAAATCCATCTACTACAACCTTGATGGCAGGGGCCAGTTTATGACAAAACTGGGGGGAAATGGAAACTCCACATGTCATTGCACCATGTCCTTTAGAGCCTACTATTGCTCTGCATTTTAGATTTTTGCTTGTTTTATAAAAATACCAACCCCCTGTGATCTGTCATCTGGATCTTTCTCTCTCCCAGTTCTTAATTTGCTACAGGTGTCCCAGTCTTGTGTCATTCCACGTCCATAGCAATTAAACGGGTTAATCTATCTGAAGATTAGCAAAGATACAAAATCTTCGAGAGCCTCATAGGAGGAAAACACTACCTTACATTTACATAGTATTTTGCAGATTATAACATGTTGTAAATGTCCCTTGATCTTCACAACAACCTTGTTAGATAGAATGTCAAGTTAGCAATGCCAGGTCATTTCTTCTGCCAGACTTTCAACAATCCAGTTCACCCGCCTTTGTAGAAATCATCCTCTTTCTACTGCCCCAGGGGGACGGCCATTCTGTCTCATGGTCCTCTTCTCCCTCCAGTGACCACAGATTAGAGATCTTCATGCTGGATTTTGCCAGATGAGGCGACATTGGTGCTGCACTGGAATTAGCCCAAAGACTGAACCTAAAAAGAGCTGGAAGATATAAGCCAAGTTTGATTCATGCCTCTACGGCCAGAGCAACTCAGTCATGAAAGCTCAGAGTTTCTTGAGTGATAAGGATCTTGAATACTTTTCTTTCTTTCCACCTTCTTATCACTTCCTTTTCCTCAGGAGATCCTACAATACTCCCTGCTCTTCAGAGACTTCCTTTTAGATTTGCTTCCTGGATATTCCTTCCATTTTAGGAACCTGTCATCTTCTCTATTAAACCAAAGGGCAGAGAGGTGTGGTGGGGGTGGTGTTTTGAGGATATTTATCCTTTATTTCTTCCAGCAGGGAGAACAGATTGCATTTGTAAGCCACATAATTGATA